AAGCAGTTTGGAGAGAAAAACAAAGTGAAGAACAAAAAAAAAAAAGAAAACGATTAATCGATTATTAAATTAGTCATCGATTATTTTAATAATCGATTAGTCATCGATTAATCGATTAATCGAGGCAGCCCTAATTGCAATATGCTTCAACGTGCTACGCACAAGTTTGTCATAAGTTACACTAATGCTGCTCATAAGCTCTGCATAAGGTTCGCATAGGATGGGAATAAATTAAGCTTATGCTTCACACTTGCCTAGTTACTTTCCAACACACGTCAGCTTATGAATATCTTACATGTATGTTGAAAACCTGTAACTTATGCCTAACTTACAATCACCACATTGATATTTGCTTTCTGCATGAACAAAAATACTAGCTGGACATTGTGCTTATGGTGGTAACTTATTCAAAAATAACTCCTAAATGATGCGACTTACATCAAAGTGTGTTTTTTAATATGTTGACATACATTGTTTTAAACACTTTAGTGTGACAGGGTCTCAACCTAAAATACATGCTTTAGTTCTGTGTCATAAGACCAGAGTACTTAGAGAAAACCCATACATGCATAGGGAGAACATGTAAGCTCCACCCAGAAAAGGCCATAAATCTGTGACCTTCTTGCTTTGAGGCGACAGCGCTCAGAGATGTGCTGCCATTCTGACTCATGCAGAGTCCATCTGACCAAATTTGATTGATTTTGTTGATTTTATTTCATCAAAATAAGTAAAACTTCGAAGCTGAAAAAAGGCTTTTTCTTTCAACAAACAAACTTTTTACTGAAATATATTTTGCACACATTTAAACAACTAAAAAAATGTCGTTGTGTGTGAGAGAAGCACTACAGTACATATAAAACTCACTGAGTGTAAATCTGTTGCAGCTTTTTGCGTTTCTGGTAATAATCACCTCCCACAGAGAATCACTGTTGAAACAATTTCACAATTTATTAGGTCGGAAAAATGTACTTCAAGCATGAAAAGAGTTCAGCTGAGCAAAAACAGGCTGCACTTGTCTTACCTTAATTAAATATTTATCATTCCATTATAACAGTGGGGGCCAGAAAACCAGATTAGAAACTTTTTTTGGGACTCATACCTGTGGCAGCTACAGTTGACTGCTCTGAACCTGTTCTGGTTATCACATTTGTTTCTTTGTTGCATTTTCGGTATGTTATGGTTGGATGGCTCGAGAACTGCAAATTCATTGTCTCTGAGTTGCTGCATTTCCTCTCAAGGATATTTCAGCCATTTTTAGGCATTGGCAAAAGTTATGACCAATTCTTAAATGACCTGTTACAGACAGCTTTTCAAACAACTTCATTTTGGAGAAATATAGAGTTTAGATTGGACCAGATTTACGAGCTAACAGCTAGTCTGAGCTCAGCCAAAACCAAAGTGATTATCACTGTTCTAAAATAGCTATAGTGTCCAAACGTTTCTGTCTGTTTGTACAAACGATGTTATGACCCTTTCCACAACAATTTGTTACTCATTACATAGTTAAATACATCAGATTTATGGTTAACTGTAAAAGTCAGTAGAAGCAGAAGAAGTATCACTAACGGCACAGCCTTGGGGTTGATTTAGGCAGGATTCTCAATATTTCTGCCAAAACAGCCATTAGATCAGGGGCATCTCAAGTATACAGCGGGTAAAATAAGTATTGAACACGTCACCATATTTCTCAGTAAATATATTACTAGAGGTGCTAATGACATGAAATTTTCACCAGATGTTGGTAACAACCCAAGTGATCCATA